TGACTCTTAAACCGCAAATAGGTTGTCGAAGGAAAGATTATGAGAAAAAATCTAAATAGTGGAGAACAGGAAATGGCGGGCTTGAGTTCCCCTTAGAATACAAACTATCAAAAATTTACTTTTTTCAGGATTGATTAAAAATAAAAAGTGACATATGAAAAAATCTTGTTCAGTATATCCAGTGTTTACTATAATCATGTTCGACTGTAGTAAGCATGGTTTTATCTCACTTTTACATATTAATGTCCTTAATGAGTATAAATGGGTACTGTATTAATCGTTATTAATGCATTGTAATAATTATTACTTTATAAATCTAATCGCGGGTCGAATTTTTTTTTAACTTTCTGCCCTAATCGTTTTCAACGGTTGGTGGTGTATAAAACAACTAATGAAAATATCTGAGAAAGAATTAGCTTTGTTCGTTATATGTGTAGTTGCTTATAACCGTTGTTCGTTATATCCGGGTTTTACTGTGGAAATCTGCGTTTTCTCTATCTTGTACATATGCATCATTTAAAAAGTCAAAAAATCGTTTAAAACGGCTGTTATTAATTATTGCCCCAAAAACAGGGCAAATTACCTATAGTGCACTCAGACGAAAATATATAGGGGTTATATATTTACATCTGAATATTTTTTACGAAATCCAATACGCATTGTTATAGACCCCTATCGAAAAAATAAAATTACTTGGTACACCATTTAGATGAAATCGGATGGAAATATATATGGGAGATATATCTAAACCTGAACAAATTTCAATCCAATACTATCTGCAATATTTCATGAAAAGCGAACAAACAGAAGCTCCTCGCTGCACGATTTGCATGAAATTGGACAAAAATGTATATGGTAGCTATATTTAAATCCTAACCGAATTCAACAAAATTTCACCGGCATCAAACTGGACTTAATTCAGTATGCTGGGCAAAATTTTTTCTCAAGGACACATATATGGGGAATTTGGTGCACCATTTATATAAAATCGACGAAACTATATATGGGAGCTATATCCAAATATAATCCGATTTCAGCAAAATTTCACGGACATTAAACTGGACTTTATTCACTATACTGTAAAAAATGTTGTTCCCTTCGGACAAATTTTGAGAATTTGGTGCACCATTTACATAAAAATAAAATTACAATGAAACTTAAAACACTCTACCCTAGTCTGAATTGCATACGTTATGTAAAATTTCGTCTCAATCGGACAAAATTTACATAAAATCGGACGAAGGGAGCTACATCTAAATCCGAACCGATTTCAACACATACATCTATATGGACCTAATTCAGTACCCGGTGCAAAATTTTGTCTCAATCGGACAAATATTGGCAGTATGGTTCCTTTTATATAAAATGGGACGCTACATCTAAATCTGAACCGATTGGAAGCTACATCTAAATCTGAACCGATTTTTTCCAATTTCAATAGGGTTGGTTTGGGCCAATCAAGTGACCTGTGTCAAATTTTATAAAAATCAGATCAAAAATGCGACCTGTAATTTGCTCACAAAATACATGGACGGATAGACGGACATGCAGACAGTGATTCTATGCATATTCTCAAAAGGAACCATGGGTTCCCTCGATTCCCTTTGCCTGTTACAAACGTATGTACAAAGACATAGGCAGTGTGGCGAAGGGCATAAAATCTTGTTCTTAAATATAGAAACTAAACACGTAAAAAAATTGTCAGTCGGTGTTGCGGAGGAGGTATTCGGAGTTATACGCAGGTTTTATTATTAAAAATGTTGACCATTTGTGTGGGAGGTACCAGAAGGAGTGGATCAATGGGCCCCATCTTCAAACTTGATCTATTATTGGTTATGATAATAGGTAGTGCAATGTTTGTTTCAAATCGAGAATTCCATTCGCCTGATATTGGATTAATAAATATGAAAAAATTTAGACCATTTGTGTGGGAGGTACCAGAAGAAATGAATCAATGGATCCCATATTCAAACATGATCTGGGCTTGGTAGAGATAATAGATAGTGCAAAATTTGGTTCAAGTCGGACTTTCCTTTCTCTTGATATTGGATTCATAAATATTGACAATTTTGACCCTCTGTGTGGGAGGTACCACAAGGAGTGGACCAATGGGTACCATCTTCCTACTTGATCTAGGCATGGTAAAGGTAATAGGTTGTACAAAGTTTCGTTAAAACCCGTTCGCAAGATATTCTAAAATTAATTTTGAGCACAATTTTGACCATTTTGACCATCATGGGGTCTAAACCCAATATTTCGATGAGGCACATTTTCACCGTATCAAAGTGTATATACCCTCATTAGCCATAATCGAAATTTTGAGGCAAATTATTAGGTTCCCAGTGCACTCCAAAAGCTCCTTTATTAAAAATAGTTTTTTGTATTCGAGTATTTGACAGAAAGCTATGTAACATTTTTTAACAAAAAATAAGTAGATTAGACACTTCAGATAAAAAAAAAAATCAATTAAAAATTTCGGTAGACTTTTCGTAAAAAATCATGAAAAATTAATAATATTTATATCATTAAATTATATTGTAAAAAAAACAATAAATTCTTATCAATCAATCAAAGTAGCCAACATCATAGTTGCTGCAACAAAAATAATTTTTTTTCTTATTGTCTTCAAAATAATTCTATAATTATCATTATGCCATTTATAGTTGTTGTTGTTGTTGTTGTAGCAGTTTATATGAATTGTATGTTTTCTGTTATGTTTCCTCCAGTTCTGTCTCCAGATTCAGAAATGCAGCTACCTCCACTGGCTGTAACCACAGATCTTCCGGAGTGAGGTGAGTAGGTTTGGCTGGGCAATTGAAGAAGTGCAGTGTGGTATGAGAGCCTGTACCACATGCTGGGCAGACATCCTGCACCATATGTTCCTATCATATGTTTGTTAGCCATTTATAGTAGTTATCTGCGGTTATCCATGGGATTATAATTTTCTTGGTCAAATTTTTTAAATCTTCCTCATGGTGAAGTACAGTAGCGTGCATTGTAATAGCAGTTATTATTACAATTTTGGTGTTCTTGATTTATAAACAAAAGAATTTTAATTTTTTCACTTATTTATTAGTTGATTTGTTCTCTTTAAATTGAATTATAAACCACTTTGGTCTCGTCAAACTTTAAAATGTTACGCCACTTAAACAGAGGCCAATCTGGGTGCTCTTTAGCAAATTTTAATCATTTGAGGGTATGTATTTTTTTAAGTAATGGTACTTTTCTGGGAGATCTAGCATACAAATTGTGATGCAGCAAGAGTCTCCTGATTGTACATGCATGAACTTCAAGGTTACATTTTTGTTTTAAATTCCGTAGCAGATGATTTGGGATCATCTCGGACAGTTCTCAAGATTCTTTTTTCATCAAATTCGACCACGCGTTTCTGGTTTGGGAGACCATTTTATGGCGTTAGAGATCATTTTCGCAGAACAGCCAACCACATCTTTTATAAATTTGTAAGTTTTTCCTTCAGAAATCAATTTTTGAATGAGTTCTCGTTTTTCATTTGTACAATGTTTTACGCGGCCAATCTTTCCAAAACGTTTTAACATAAAGTACACATATTTGGATTTTTTTAAAATTATTATAAATCAAAAATATTCTGATCACAAGAACAAAAAATTTGAATATTAATGCGATTTTACATGTTTTCTTACTCCACTGCTATTATTATGCAAGCGAACATAAGAGAAAGGCAAACAAAAAACAACGGTAAAATTTTTCAGATTATTTAAAAAATTATAGCGCATATATTAAGAAGCAGTACTGAACTGCTATTAATTTGAACCTAACCGCATAACTCTTAACGTTTTTAGTAGATGTCGTTTACTTTTAAACGTATTCAATTACCTCTACAACAAATATTATGTGTTGTTTATCTCTTCAAATAAATGGGTTTATTCTTTATTGTCATCGCAGACTGCTTACTTATTATATAACATAACAAATAATTTGATAGATATATTCCTAACAACATTATTCATAATGGGATTATCTCTATTATATACACACATATATATTTGTGTAGGTATATAAATAATCATTAATTGATTGACTCGATGTCGTCAAAAATCAAACAGTTTCAAATTTGTAATGGAAATTTTTACTATGTTAATAATGTGTACTAAAGCAGGTGGACATTTTTTTACTTTGTTGTTTAGATGTACCTATTTGTTTAATATTCATCAACGTTTGCCATAATCTCACCTCAATTTCTGCTCACCGGCAAAAAATATTGTTTATTTTTGCATGCACACGTGGTAATGAGAACAATTTATACTATTTTTTATTAATCTTGCATTTACTGAAAATTATTGTTGTTTTTCGTGTTGAATAATGTTAATTCAACACAACAACAAACTAGATAAAAATAACAAAACATATGATATTTGCAAAAACAAACAGAACAGGTTTCTAATCTATTCCAAAAGACTAGAAAAAAATGCAAATTTATTAAAGAAATAAAATATAAAAATATACGAGAAAAAACAAATGAGGACATTTTACATACTAGTTGAACAACAAAGCATATTCCGAATCTATCATGTGCTTACTAGCATTATCTATTTGTTGCGTTAGATTTCCATCAATAATAAATACATATGTATGTACCTACATATTAGTTAGTATATTATGATATAATACATAACAGTTCCGTATTTGCGAATCTTAGTAATCTGGACATCTCTTGGGATCGGTGTAAAAATAACAATTGAAATCATTACACCTTATAACTGAAGAGACATTACAATATAATCTAAATAAAATGGAATATTTTCCAGTCACCAAAAAAAATTATATTTTGTTGTTGTAATTAATTCCATGGTCCTTTCAGTTTTCTATACCCATGTGTGATGTGTCTATTTCACTTGTCGCACATTTCCACCCTTCTATGGTTCGACATTTTCCAAAATAATTTGTGTGCTATGTATCTTCATATCATCTATCTATATCTGTTGTTCCACGCACGATTTTCCAGTTTTTTTTTTACTTACCTTAAGGGCAATATTCTTATTGCAGATACTGTTGGCAAGCAACATACGTCTTGCTTGTTGCACTAACATTTTGTTGTTGTTGTTGTTTTTAGATTAACTTTAATAGGGCAAAAACGGCACTGCAATACAACAAAAAAAATGTTAATTAGTAACAACGACTTTTAATGATCACTTAATTTTGGCTAAACACTTGATTACCTCCTCCAACTCTAGAAAATGCTAAGCAACAATCGTATGATCCACAACTGAATAAAATCGGCTCGAACATATGAAAAAATATGAAGGCTCCATTGAGTATTCTCTCATAAAAGCTTTTAATGAAAAGCTATAATAACAGCTGTTCACTATTGGGGGCAATAGCAAAAACCCATCTGCAGTTAAAAGCGTTCCAATACAAAATTAGAATATATGTTTAACGCGACCTTGCCATACTGGATTTTTCTTTATTTAAAAAAATGTAGAAGTATGTATTTCTGTACTTCCGGAGATATGGGTTTCTAAAATTCCGATTGGACACATTTAAGGGCTAAGCAGAATGGGCGCGTTGTGTTATTTTACGCGTCACATAAAGTGCGTTATTCACCTGACATACGATTGTCAAATGTTATGTTTATTCACCGCCTTCGTATCATCCCACCCCATTTCCTTTTTTTATTCCGATAGGATTTCATTTCTTTTATTGTAACAGCAAGAATGTTGCTCCATGCAATTCATTAATTGTTCTTAGAACATCGTGAGTTATTTTTAGTTTTTTTTTTATTTGAGTTTTTGCCGGAGTTTTTTTAATATTGCCCGAATAATTGCAGAGTGCAATTGACGAAATTTTTTGTACACCAAAATGTTAACGTACAAATGTCAAAAACCAGGGTTTAAAATACAGCATCAAAAATATCATCATTAGCTTTACACAGCTACTGCAAAAAAATATTGACATTATGACTAAATCAGCAAGGGGCTAGCTTTTTTAGTTCGTAGCATCCATGCTAACAACGTATTTCAAATGCGAACTTTTTTTGTTATGACTAATCGGCAGTAAGACTACATGTTCATACTTCATTGTCGAGAATAATCAGACGTGGGTTGTTTTTATGTTTGTGTATTGCCAACGCAGAAATTAGAAAAAATGTATTTCATTTTCTAAGCACTCTTCTTTTTAGGGGACAATCATCTATTTTAACTGGCTGTCATCTATAAAATTTATGTCCTCTTTATGTCATCTATTTCTATAATCTATCATCATTGTCATCTATATTTTTAAAACCTTGATCAGTATTTATTTTTGTAAACAAATATATAAATAAATTTTCTGAAATGACAGTGAAATATTTACAAAATGTATCCGAATCTTAGCAGGAAAAACTATAGAACTGTACTCCCACATTATTGGTTTTTCAGAATTTTTAGACACATTTCTAACCGCATCATCTATTACTTTATATTTGGAGTTATAATCGAGTACCAAATTTCCACAAAAAAATATTTGGTATCTGCAGGATTTTTGGACACGTTTTGAAACCGAATATAAAGATCCCAATTGGGCCGATCGTATTTAAAGACTTTTTAAGTCGTTTTAGATATTATTTATATTAAAAATATATATTTTTCTTTTTGTCATATATTTTTTTTATTTTCAAAATCTGGTCGCCGTATATTAATTGTGACACATCTCAAGTCTGATGTCAAAAATAAAGACTTTGCTTTCGTTTTCATAATGAAAGTCAATACACAATAATAGATTTTGACGTTGCAGTCCAATACATTGATTTCCATAGGTTTCATTCGATCAGCTGATGTGTTTCCCCCTTTGTGATTTTATGCCTATGTCAAAACTAATTCTACCTTTAAGCCCATTCCCCAATTTGTGGTTTAAAAATTTAAAAAAGTTTTACAGGAACAGAGCATAACTTTAACTTAACATTTAGTACACTTACCAACACTGTTCATTGCTGTTGATAAACAACAGCTGTTATTTGTTATTGTTTTTATTTTTTCATCAATTCCTTTTGTTGATTTCTCATTCCTCAGTTTTAATCGAATCGCACAAGAGAAATGCATTAAAACCGCTTGCAAATATACGACAAATCACTCACAACACCAACAAAAAGAAAAAAATATGCACAATCAAAAACGAGTAATAGTGATCTCGGTGTGAAAACAAAAACGGCGAAGAAGACGATTTCTCCGAAAGAAAACTTGCGAAAAATAATACAAAAGACAAAAATTACTCAGAGCCAAATGTAAATACCCCTTAAAAACAAAGAAATTATCGCTCTCTGCTTAAATTGTTATCTATCCCAGCAATCAGACGGTCGGTGGTATCCCCTTTATGTAGGTTAGTTTCTAATGTAAATAAATATGGAAAGTCGCTGTTTGAAAAGGTTAATAAATTGATGAATTTTGTTTGTTAAAATGCATTGTTTATGTGTGTTGGTGAGTATACAGAACGACATTAGATTCTCCGTGTTAAATGTTTAAAACGCAATTTCATCACTGCCCTAGGTAATCAAATTTATATTTCTTCGAATAATAATAAAAAATAAAACATTGGAATAACTTTACGATTGTTCGGAACCATCATTGCATAGGGAATGTTCTGTTCGTGATAGTGCGTTGGTACACTTATTATCTCGTCGACGGTAGCCTAGGCCAGCATCAAGTTGCAAATCAATCTACCATCATCATTGCTCTGCACAATGGCTATCACCTCTTCATGTAGAGTTCTTCGTACAAAGTCAAGTGTAACTTGGCACTGCATGATAAATAAAACACAGCTGAAGAGTAGAGTAGTAGTGAACTGATAATATAAACGTTCATTCACTGCATTTGCATTCTTATCTAATGTATGTTCTAAGACGACGAGGAGGAGTAAATTAAACTGATGAAGCCTTATCAGTTGTATTTGGTCACTTAATATACTTGCAATACCTAGTTCATTATGTTGGGGTCATTGGCCGTTGCCTGTGGTAAATATAATAAACATATTTACATATAGGTATGCATAGTTACATTTGAATGAATATTGTCTAAGGTCAGTAATTTGTTATGGTTAGGAGTAAGGGGTGCCTGATCGCAAGTATCAGTGTACTAGTGGAGTTATACAATGGCTATGAGTTACTGTTATTCTAGCTGTACTTTCCTATGGTGACCTTCTTTGGTGGAGGGCTCTTGATAAATGAACGACAATATCTAAAACCGGACATGGACCTAAATTTCCAACTACTGGACCTTTTTACCATTATCTAACAACAAGTTGTGCCTCGAGACTCAAATACCTTACACTATTGATATTCTAGTGTCTTCAACATGACATCGTGTCACATTAATGACTATATTTGCCCCTACCTCGACTTCAAGCCGGGTCAGTCAATATATAAAGAAGGTTCTAAGATAAATGAAGATACTCTAGCAGATGTGTATAACTTCCTATAAACAACTAGTACAAACTTTACGAATACTATAGCTTCTGAACAATCACGGAGACGGCTGATATAGATTACCTAAGACTATAGGGTAAGTGCGCCAATAGTCAGCACTTTAAAGATTTTCGAAATTTAAACGTTCCATCATCCCGAGTGCATTTTCCACTTGTATTTAGGTTCATCTGTTTTGAAATTTTGTTTGCAGATTGACGATCCTGTTAGATCACCTATTGAATATTCATTGCCAATACCCGCAATATCCGTTACGAGAATGTAGGCATTATGTGGTTTCCAGTACCAGTGTCAAGTCACTGTATAATTAGATATCTTACATCCAAATGTATTTTTAGGCGTTTCTTTTTATACCAATACAAAGTATACGTAAAGCAATATCTTTGCCTCGTTGGTAAACCATTTCGTCGTCGATAATCGAGGATTGACTGTATAACACTTTTATTCCAAATACAAAAATAAATGATAATTAATTTTTTTTTTATTTTTCATTTTCTTTCATTTTATTCTCAAAATAAGCAGCGATGCGTGATAATCCAACGTTTTTATTTTTATACCCTTCACCACACTGTGGTACAGGGTATTATGTCTTTGTGCATATGTTTGTAACAGGCAAAAATAATCGAGATAGATCCATGGTTCCTTTTGAGAATATGCATAGAATCACTTTCTGAGTCGATTTATGCATGTCCGTCTGTCCGTCCGTCCATGTATTTTTGTTAACAAAGTACAGGTCGCATTTATGATCCGATTTGGATGAAATTTGGCACAGGTCACTTAATTGGCCCAAGGACGAACCCTATTGAAATTGGAGAAAATCGGTCCACGTTTAGGCATAGCTCCCATATAAGGGTACCCCAAAATTTTCGGTATTTTGAGGTTCTTGAGCGCGTTTTTTAACTGAATTCGCTGAAATTTTGTACATTGAGTTCTTATTGGGTAGCAAATCTCCCTACCAAAAATTATAAATAAAGGTCCATTTTTTCGGATAGCCCCCATATAAGATTACCCCCAATTTTCGGTATTTTGGGGGTTTTGATCGCATTTTTTGGTACTTTGTGTTCTTATTGGGTAGCAAATCTCCCTACCAAACATTATAAATAAAGGTCCATTTTTTCGGAAAGCCCCCATATAAGGGCACCCCCAATTTTCGGGTTTTTGGGCTCGTTTTATAACTGAATTCGCTGAAATTTTGTACATTGGGCTCTTATTGGGTACCAAATTACTCCACTAAAAATTATAAATATAGGTCCAGTTTTTCTGGTAGTACCCATATAACGGTACCCCAAAATTTTTGGTATTTTGGGGGTTCTGATCGGATTTTTCGACCAAAATGACTGTAATTTAGTACGTCGACTTCTTATTAGGTAGCACATCTCTCCACTATAAATTATAAATATTGGTCAATTTTTTCTGGTAGCCCCCAGGTTTTGAGGTTCTTGAACCAAATTATTTCTTCTGGTACAGGGTATTATGTTTTTGTGCATATGTTTGTAACATGCAAAAATAATCGAGATAGACCCATGGCTCCTTTTGAGAATATGCATAGAATCACTTTTTGAGTCGATTTAAGCACGAAATTTGGAACAGCGTAGCAAATTAGGTCTAGAATGATGTGTGTAAAGTTGCCTGAAAATCGGTTCAGATTTATATATAGCTC